TTTTTTAAGATTTCCACAGTAGTTTTCTGAGTTTTTTTATCCCAGAAATTTGCCTTAATTTTTTTAATATATACAGTTTTGTAGAACTCGACGAGCTCTATCGAACGATGTAAAAATATCCAAGAAAGAAAGTTTTATCCCGTTTTTGAATTACTGACGCTTTAATTTTCTACGCCACAAAAGTATACAAATTCTGAAAATTAATGAAGTTCGACATTAAAAAGTGTTGATGACTCTTGCTGTTTAGTATCAATAAATCATAGTTTTGACGCGCTTTCGGTTGGTATAAAATTCATGAAGTACTCTATTTGAAATTATACCGGTACTTCCCTGGCAAATTATTATTTCCAACCCTGTACATGTGCTAAGAATTTTAAACGTTTAGCCTAAGAATGAATGAGATTCCATGCAGGATACTTTTCATCAGTGCTGTACTTCTTCATTGAGTTAAATACTACTAATTAAAAACAGTATCCGTTGATGATTTTCTTATGAATAGAAATTTAGAAGAGTCCTATGTTACTGAGGAAAAAGATTAGCACGATAAATTAAAGGAAAGTGAATAAATTAAAATCTTTTATCGTAAAGCTACGTATGACTTAACCTATATAAACGTCGAGTGCATTGAGATCTAGATTCATTGCAACTCTTTTATCAATTTCTCCTCATCATTATTGTTATATGCTTTTTAGATTATACGGGATAACGAGAAAAAGCTAAAAGTATCTCAGCCTCAAGTTTTAGAGTCAACCTTCTAAATGGATGCATTTTCTTTAAGTGTTGGTACTCAGCACGGTAACAACAACTTGCAAGTTTATGTTGAAGAACTTTCTATTTATAATATTCACTCAACCACTAAATGTAAGCTTATTCTGACAATTGTTTCATTAATGGCCGTCCTTCTTCCATTATGTGATACAAGTTACTTGCCCGCGTTGGTCACAATCGAGAAAGATTTAAAAACTAGCGGAGCACTTGTTGCCACCAGTGTTTCAATATATTTCTTTATGAATGGTTTGTTCGCTATCCTATGGGGGCCGCTTTCGGATCGCTTTGGACGGAAACGTATACTGTGTATTGCGCTTGTCCTCTTTGTAGTTATCTCCATTGTTTGTATCTTTGCACCTAACATTGCGGCACTGATTGCATTTCGAGCAGTACAAGGTGCTGCAGTATCTGCAACACTTGTTATTGGACAAGGAATCATCGCTGATATCTATCCTCCAGCAACTCGTGGCTGGTACACAAGCATATTTTTTATTCCTTTTCTTATTGGTCCTATTATTGGACCACTCATTGGTGGCGCAATGTCTGCAAAGTTTGGCTGGAGAAGCATATTTGTAATGCTCAGTATTTTTTCATTCCTTATTGCATCGTGCATTCAAATCTTATTACCAGAGACGCATCAATACATCGCCATGCAACGATTCGAACGAGAGTATCCTGACAAACACGTTCAAGAAAGTGAACGTCAGCCAAAACCTCATTTTCAGCAACCTTGGTTTTCACTACGAATTCTTGCTGACAAATCTATTTTGCCCTACATAAGCGTAGCGGGAACCACACTCACAGGCCTTTTCACCAGCTTCACTCTTTTTACCAACTATTTGGCCAAGGAACCCTACGAAAAGAATGAGACCATCATCGGTGTTTTGTTCATTCCCGCAGGCACAATGATGCTCACTAGTAACTTGCTTGGAGGATGGTTGTCAGATAAGGCAAATCTATATTTTACTTCAAACTGCCCCGAAGGTCGTCTTGTGCCTGGAGTTGCTCTTTCACTCCTGAATCCTTTTGGATTGATAATCTACGGATGGGCATTTCACTTTCGCGTTCATTTAGCAGTTGGTATCATTGGACACATGATGCTTAGCTTTGGTCAGTCAGTTTTTTTACCGGGACTGTATGCTTATCTAACAGCAAAAAAACAGAAAGACGCTGCGGCTGCTTCAGCTGTTAATAGCTTGCTCAGTTTTTGTGGAGCCGGCATTGGTGTGACTATTGCTGTGCCAGTTCAAAATGCCATTGGTGGTGGTATCTTCTTCTCAATTCTCAGTGGTATCAACATCGTGGTGATTCTTGCTGCGGCTCTAATTATATTCCGATGTATAAAAGCCAATGGGTCTATCCAGGTTGTTAATCAGGAAATGGAACCAGACATAGAAGAGACCTGCTTGTAGAGACCTGCATTGGATTCATGTCGGAGTTGTTTCGAAATCAATTGAATTTCTGGCCAAAAATCTATCTTTCCCATGAGAATTATTGTGAATTGTAGGTTTTGTTCTGTGTTAGTTTGTTTACAAACCAATACATTTTAAAGGACCGGTCAAAGTTACGTCGAGGCTTACGGATACGGAGAAACAGTCGAAGACCACAATGGTTACGATTCTTTTTACGTCAACGTTCTCTTCGTATCCGTAGGCCTCGATGTAACTTTAACTGATCCTTCAAAATGCATCGGTTGCTAGATAAACTATCAAAGAACAACATCTACGACTCACAAAAATTCTAATGGGAAAGATTAGGTTTAGTAAAAAATTTAGTGGATTTTGAAACGACTTTGATATGACTGAATCCAGATCTCTATCTATTTGTGAGCAGAATTTGCAAAAAATTGAAAATTTTCGATTTGCACTGATTCGATTCGACGCATGAGCAAACTCCCCGAAGAACTACCTGCTTTAAGAGCCATAGTATGCTCATTATGCAACGCAGACAACATAAGTGTTATAATGATTATTAAAAAAATTTGATTGTCACCCACATGAACTTCCTTATATTCTAATAAATCGTAATCATAGTTGTGAATATGAAACTTTTTCCGCTTGTTTAATTGATTAGTACTATTCATCATGACTGTTTTCTATTTTATTTTCATAGCAATTTTTAGACAATCAATATGGTTCTCCTTTTTTATTAAAGCAGTTTACTACAGAGCCGGACGCAATAATTACAATTTGGATTAAAACGGAAATCTAATAACGCTCGTTTTGTTCTTTAATGGAAAGGTTAATAACTATGAACACTCAATTCGACAGAACCCCTCCTTACATACTGTATGATTTATGCGAATAACGTCTGATACGATGGAGATGTATCCTACATATTCATCGTACGAAGAAACTGCAAAATATGCGTGCTCGGCATTGTTCATGATGCATCTGGAACATTTGCCATTGCCATTAACCATTTCATGCTCAACTTGAATATATAACCACGAGGAGGAAATATATCACACAAAACATCTGAAGTCATTCATATTTTCCATTCGAAAAGCTGTCAGAGGATGTGGGTGTGTGGGTGTGGTTGAGATGCGGGTGAGTGTAGCTGTGAGGTATGGCTAGATGTGGGTGTGGGTGTAGTTGAACGTAAAACCCACACTAATACTGCCAATACTCGCACCCATATCCTCCCGTCAGGAGAGAGGCATATGCACAAAGCACCGAAAAATGGCCATTTTGCCGCGTACCTGGTAGTATTGGACAACTCAGCAATAGTACATCCATTCAGGCTCAAATTTTTTTGTCAGTAGTGCAGAATCATTAAATCCACTCACAGTTAAATTGTGAAGCTAATTGAACGTATCCTTGATGAGATACATTATGTGATAAAAAGCACAAAAAAATGCGACTTGGATGTGGGTGTGGGTGTGAGTATGGGTGTGGGTATGGATATGAGTGTGGGTGTGAGTGTGAATGTCAGTGTGGGTGTGGGTGTGGGTGTGAATGTGGGTGTGGATGTAGGTATGTTTGTGTAGTTGTGGATATGGGCCTTGATATTCTCTTCGCAACAAACTACATCTAAACCGACACCCACACCCACACCCACACCCACACCCCACACCCCACACCCACACCCACACACCCACACCCACACCCACCCCCCCCCCCCCCCCCCCCCCCACCCCCCCCCCCCCCCCCCCACACCCCCCCACCC